CTATTCTATTCTATATTCTATGTTGTATTCTATTCTATTCCATATTTCCCCTTCCCTTCCATTTCATTCCATATTTTCTATTCTATTCTGTAATTCTATTCGATTATCTGTATTCTACATTCTATTCTATTCTATTCTATTCTATTCTATTCTATTCTCTATATTGTATTTTCTATTCTATTCTGTTCTATCCTATATTCTATGTTGTATTCTATTCCATATTTTCCCTTCCCTTCTCTTCCATTTCATTCCATATTTTCTATTTTATTCTATTCTATTCTACTCTATTATTCTATTCTCTATATTGTATTTTCTATTCTATTCTGTTCTATCCCATTCCACTCTTAATTCTATTCTATTTCTAATTCTTATTCCAAATTCCCGACCTTTTCCTAGCCCTCCCTCCCTCCTTCTCCATCTTCCAGAAAGCCTTATCCCCCACCCCACAAAAAAACCCATTTTGTGTGCAGGCAGGCTTTTAAATTTATATTTGCTTAGGAATATTAATGGATTTTGGGTTTTTAGTTTTTTTTTAAATCCATGAAGTTGGGCATTTGGTTTCTCTCTTTCCCTTTTTTTTATTAGTTTGGCTGGCCGTGTTGATTTTTGTTTTACAGTGCTTATCTCTGTCCGCTGCCTGGAAGGTGGGGAGTGGGGTGCTGGGAAACAAGGGGGGGGGATATTTATTAATTAATAAAAGATGCCCTGGGAGAGGAGGAGCTGGATTTAAAGGGGTCTCAATCTTCCAGGGCCCAAAGCGCCAGATCTGCACCCAAAAGAGTCCAGGGTGGGTTGACGCAGACATTGTTTTGCACCATTATTATTTTCACGGGGTGCCAGTCGGACCCTCACGATGCCCGTCTCCCCCTCCCCAAGGATCCCTCTGCTGTCTTCTTTCTGTGGCATGGAACTACATCATTCGAAGTGACCGAACACCCCAGGTGGTGGTGTTGCCTGCCAGTGGCCAGCGGAGCTGGCGGCAGACTCGGACAGTGAGGAGGTTGCGGAGGAACATGGCCGTGTCTGAGGAAGGCTCTGACGAGGGGCTCTGCCTCGGAGGCAGAGGTGGGGCCAGGGCCCTCCGACAGTTATCGGCTGCCTTTGGAGTCGGACATCAGTGAGGCAGAAGAACAGCTGGAGCCTGTTCCCAGTATGCGTGTGCACAGAGCTGCCAGACGAAGGGAACAGCTAAGGAACAAGGGTTGACTTGGGAGTAAAGCCACAGGTGGACAGTGAATGGCCCCTCCCAGAGGGAATAAAAGAGGAGCGAAAGGGGAGTGGGGTTTGCAGGAGACAAACAGTTCAATTCATGAGGGTGAAGATCTGTGCCTGACTCCTCGCCAAGTCATTGCTGCTACAGCATGGAGTTTGGGAGCTATCGGCCTAGCAACTCTCCCAGCCTGATCAAGGTCTGTGGTTGTGAAATCTCATAGAAGACTCTTTGCTGGAGAGGAATTCCCTTGAACCCAAATAAAAAGGGGTTTTATCGGGACGAGGAGTTTGGCTTTGTGATCTTGGGAAGGTCTAGATCAGAACAGGTGTGTGTTGTTTACACAGTGTCCCCAAACGTGCTGCCACTCTGGTTTTGAAGCCTAGCTGTTGCTTTTGGGGACTGAAGGACCCTCTCCAATGTGTGTGTGTGTGGGGGGGAAGGGTCCTAAGCCCCACTCCTTTGGCAAAACAGAGTAAAGCTAAGACAGCTCACGATGCTGCTCAAAGATCCAGCGAAATGGTCTAAAAAATTAAGAGGAGAATCTGAAGCTGTCAACTTTCTGCAAATACTTTAAACTCAACACTTTTTTTCCCCCCAGAATGGAAACGGGGAGTTTCTCTTCCATCAGGCATTGCAGAGATCTATCCTCAAAAGAGAGAGAGAAAAAAGGACAAAACTGATGACCGGAGAACAAACTGTAATCAAGATCAGCCATCCTCTTTTTACAGTCTCTCCGTGGTTTCTTCCACTATACATGAAAGTATTCTAGGTTTTCACCAATGTTTCACTTAGGCAGAAAATTATGGCCTCTCCTGGAAGCAGACAGGTTGTTTTAGCTTTGCCCCTATTATCCTTGAATTCTATGTATTCGGTTGAAGATCTATTGCAGAGGTCTCCAAACTTGGCAAGAGCTACGCTGGCTGGAGAATTCTGGGAGTTGGTCCACAAGTCTTCAAGTTGCCAAGTTTGGGGAGCCCTGATCTATTGGTTTAAATAAAAATATATATACTTTTTTTTTTTTAACAACCCAGGACAGAGGGCTGTACGCTCTGCCAGTCCCACCAGGTCTGGCTGGGAATGATGGGGGAGCCACAGCTGAAGAATTTACTGGAAAGGTTCCACCTTGGCTAACGCATCTCTGTTCTGCCTCCCGTTAGGATGTTGAAAAATGACATTTGCCCCTATTAGCATTTTTCAGGCTTGGCCACTTGAAGAGCGGGTGGGGGTAGACTTCAATTCCCAAAATCCCCCAGCCCAGGCAAAGGAACTCTGGGAGTTGAAGTCCACCCCGGTCTTCAAATCGGGTTTGAAAAACATTTAGATGGCTGGAAACTTGATACAGTCTTGTGATAGATGGATGTGTGAATTTAGATTAGATTAAGAGTTAGAAGGGACCTTGTAGGTCATCTAGTTCAACCCCCTGCCCTCAAATATTGGAAGATGCTCTCCTGTCTCCCCTGGTCCTTCTCTTCCCTAGACTAGCCAGGCCCAGTTCCTGCAACCAGTTCATCGTATGTTTCAGCCTCCAGTCCCCTAAAATCATCCTGGTTGCTCCTCTCTGCACTTTTTCTAGAGTCTCAACTTCTTTTCTATAGTGTGGTGACCAAAACTGGATGCAGGACTCTAGGTGTGGTCTTACTAAGGCTTTACAGAGTAGCATTAGTACCTCCCTTGATCTTGAATGTATCCCTCTGTAAATGCAACTTAGGATTGCATCGGCTTTTTTGGCTGCCGCTGCACACCATTTTTACATGTTGAGTCCTCCTCACCTTACACATCCAAGACCAGAAATTCCTGTTACTAAGCAAGGCAGTTGTTCAGAGGTGGCCAGATTTTAATGTCCTTTTTTTTTGTTTTGTTTTTTTGCCCTGGTTGTTAAGCAAATCTGGGTTCCTGAATGGCTTGTCGTAAGTCAGCTGGGCAAGTCACAAAGGGTGATCACATGACCTGCCCCTCCCCCCAAAGGAACGATGGTCCCTGGGCATGCCCAGAGTGCTTCCAGCCCCTGCCTCTGGTGTTGGTTTTGCAACAACGGTGAATGCTTGAAGGTTTCAGAAGGAAAGGAGGCCACAAGGCGATCTCCGCTTAAAAGATCTTTTATTCACTTCCACTGGTCACAAACTACTTTGCACAGTGCCAGGATGCTTTCGCAGCTTGCGCCGCTGCCCCCTTCCTCCCACCCCCACCCCGCCAGCTTTTCTACTTAACAGCCAGTGCAGCATTTTGGGGGGGTGGGGGGTGGGCTCCTTTGGGGTGGCAAGTGTCTCTCAGGGGATCCACTAGGGTGGATCTCCTGGCCTGTGGGGTGCTTGCCTGTCGGCCTCATAAAAAGTTGGATCCAATTGGAAACAACCACCATTGAACCGGAGTTTCCCAACCTTAGCAGATATAAGATGGGTGGGCTTCAATTCCCAGAATTCCCCAGCCGGGGAATTCTGGGAATTGAAGTCCACCCTGATGTAGACATCCCCCCCCCAATAGAAATATGTACAAGGGGTGCAGAAGGGAGGAAGAAGAGGGTGGGGACTGATAGAATCAAACCAACCATGATTGTCTTTTCTGTTCAGGGGTCAGCCCATAAAACCTGCCTTCTCTGCCCCCCTCCCATTGCCAGAAAGAAGCCCCCTCCCCTCAAATAAATCCAGGCAAAAAAGACCCCAAGCAAAACAAGGAGGGGGGGAGGGAATCCACTGGACCCCTCCATCGTCTTTCCCACCCAAAGAGAGGCGTGCGAGAAGGGGAGGGGGTCCTCAGATCGCACCCTTTCTAAAAGGGGGAGGGGTTCCCTCTTTGCAGCCATGCCGGGGACCCCCCCCAATAGAAGCCAACCTCTAATCTGAGCTTCTGAAAGGGAACCTCCCTGTGTTGTTTTTTTTTCATTTCATTTTATTTTTCAATATAAAAAAACGAATAAAATAAACCCTCGGAATAGAAAGCACTCCTGAAAATTTGACCCCCGACCCGGAAAGAGAAAACGCCCCCCCCCCCCCCCCTTTTTGCCCCCCCCTTCTTTTGAAACGTCCCTCTTCCAGGGACTGCCTAGGTGTGTAGATATATATATTTCTCTCTCTCTCTCCCTCGGAATAGAAACACGTCACAGGTATATTCATAATCATAAGATGGGAAGAAGCATAAATATGCCTTGTTGTTTTTTTCAACAGAAAAGAAGAAAACAAACCCC